TCAGCGAGATTACACTCCACATCTCGACGCACTGATGATGTCGCGTCGCATGGCGGTGAAACATTGGCAAACAAATTTCCCAGCTCGGCGAACAAATGAGCGACTGAATTATCATCCCGAGTTACCAGTTTTCCGAAACAGAATAAATCGATCTACCGAATAGAACACACCCATGAAGTCGGTCTGCGATATGCGCGGCGCTGCCGCACAGTGAATATATGGTCTATACAGCCATGTCCTGAGCTGAACCCTGTCTGTTCTTCCCTAATCCGAGATTCCCGTTCCGCAGTGAGGCGACGAACGAGAATCGGGGACAGTAATTTTATCACAACTGACGTTAGGCTAATACCCCTGTGATTAGCACAGTCTGTGCGATTATCTTTCTTATATATTGCCACTATAATCTATTCACGCCAGTTGACCGGGACACTCTTCCTTCCAAATTTGTTCGAATAAAGAGGTCAGTGCTTTGCAGAGGACCTCACTCCCATCCTCAAATAGTGCAGGTGGGAGGGAACCCGGGCCAACAGCACGAAAACGGCTGAGGGCTGTGATCGCGTTTCAGGCCTCTGCCTCCGATGGAGCCTCTAAACTAATCGGCCATGACTCGCTTTGCATCATCTGAGTAGGAAGAGGTCTGGGAGCAGGTGGCCAACTGAACTGAGCTTAAAATCGTTCCAACAAACGAGCGATACGGCGCCCATAAGCATGTATCAATGCACTCGTACGGTCTCTGACCGTCTCACTGACACCTGGTTTCCTGGGACCAGTGGTGCGGATCAGTTGGAAAAGCTTGCGGTAAGTCCATACTCCTCCCGCCTCCCCCATTTGTTGAGCCCGTCTGGTCCACCAGCCTTCCTTGTCAGCATGCAGGCTTCGGTTAAATTTGCGCCTAATAGCCCGTTTGGCCACATTATGCGCAGAGCCACACAGGAGATTTCTTCTGGATTTCAACAGGTTCACTGACCCCTCGGGTATCCAGTGACGATTGATAGTGCTAGAAGCAGATACTCCTGCGGCGTGCATGGCGGCCGAGATCCGATTCCACTGAAGGTGTGTCAACAGAACAAGACAGCGAAACTTCCATACGCAATGCATCTTGATAGGCTTGTCTGACCGAGGGTTGAGAATTTCTCAGTTCCCAATCAGAGGAGATGTCTGTTGTGCCCCTCGGTAAAGTTCTAGGAAAAACGACAGCGTACTAAGGCATGCTCAGAGTCGACGCACATATTCCATTTCAGGCGGCAATCCAGGGTGTAACCAAGCCACCTGTAACTTATGGCAGTGTGCTCAATTTGGGTCCATCGTTTGCCAGCTACAGGAGGACGCCAAGTGACACTTCGACGTCCTGTGTCAAAAAACAGTGCTACTAAGAAACAACTGGTACTCTCCACACAGTTGCAATAAACGCTCGTTGTTGTCAGTCCGTTCGAAGCCTATAACTACCACCTAGATGAACTTCTGAAGAGCACAGATGCACTACATGTGCGTTCATATCCCCTGCAAGTCCTATGATATCGGAACAATAACACTGCGTAGTAGCGCGTTCAGTTCGAGATAGTGTGTGTCCTTGACAGCATTAGACTTGCAGTCGGTAGGAGCATAAGTGAAAATGACAAACAAACATCCTGTACTACTTCGTGGATCAACTTTAGTTGCAGTCGTCGAATGGGCAGCACACAAACGGCTGTCCACCGGAATCCAATCAACCCAACTACAAGTGTGAACATATGCATCATAAAACATGTCTTGAGCCGCATTGGAGTGTAGTGATAAAATAGTGGTGACAACTGGCAGATTGGGTTAGAAGCGACCAGTAGGCTGGATGTAATTGGCCATCTAGTTTCTGAAAACGAAAGCCACAAATGAGAACACGTTTGACTAGGAGTTTGTCAAGAGAAAACGAACCGATCTTGTAAGGGATGATTCTGGAAGTGACGGGCGACAGTATTGGTACATCATGTCGGTAGCTGCTAAGACACGAAAACCATGTACTTGTCATTCACGCGGCCTCCAGCGTGTGGGTGTGGGTAAACTAATCAATGTGGAACACCGTGCTGTGCGCCACTTCAGTTGCATCCTGACAAGAGGCTGGTTGTTTGCCGTCGAATGCTTGATTGTCAAGGTAGTTCCGTTCAACCCGAGCAAACGTGCGTTACTCGAACGAGATGAATACCGTCGCAATGAAAACAACAATTTCCAATAGTGATGGAAGAGGAGAAAAATGCAAAAAATAGCGAACGTCAGAAGAAGTGAACCATTAAACATCCCAGATCGAATGTAATGGAGCAGTGACTACTAAATCTTGCTATGGCCAAGAAAGTAATTGACCAATGACGAAGGAGATCTTGAGACATCTCTTCAGGGAGATGAAGTGTGCTCGACTGATTAAGTTGCTTAGTAAACTGGTTTAAAACTCCGTGATATATCATGGCTCTCCTAGCTAAGTACAGCATCCGGAAACAAAACACAGAGATAGGCGGTCGATAAACACATTGCCCATATTTGGAGGAACACCATTAAATGAGCGGTGCTGAGGTTCGCCAATTGGTGATTGAAAAGTAACCTTCTGATGCCGCCCTAGGTTCTTCGTTAAAGTCGAGTCAGTTATGTTCGCGCGGTCAAGACCTCCGTATAATTGTTGGCAGCATATCTCCGCGCGTATGATATGCCACCGCTGCACCTGGTTGAGCAAAACTGCGAGGTACCAAGTCGGTGAGATAGCAAGGAAGGGAAGGAAGGAATTAACCGAAAGCCTGGATCAAGCTGGCACTTTCTGTCTTCATAGATGTGGACCCTAGGATGGTCCATATTAGTGATTGGAGACCCTATCACGGCGCAGTTAATGGCGCTCCGGCATTCGGTTCCTTACATCCAGTTGTCAACATTCTGTCCCAATTAACTTCGTGCGCAGCTTCCTTAACTACCTTTTCTATGTGATCTCTTTGATTTCTAGCTCATCTCGTCACTTTTGTTTTCCTGGAGGCACGAGTCAAAGAAACTGGATCGATCGCACTTCGGTGCTAGGATCATAGTCATATAACTGTATTGAACCGAAGCATGCGGTGAACGTGACCCGGGCGACGGATACGCAACATGCTGCGCATGATGCGAGTGTTACTAATGCGCAAAGTAGTCAGATAACGCCACCCGCGCAGTGAATATAAAAAATATTAATTGTTGCATCGTCTGTTCCCACCAAGGCCTTAAGGATCACAAACTTGTAATCTGAGGTCGCGGGTTTGAGCCTGCGTAGGGGACCGAACGACCCTCGCAGTATACTTAGCACAACCGCGACTGGCGGTGGTTGCGCGGTAGTGAAGCATCGGTACTGCGTGCCGGCATACTGCAGTGAGAGTAATAAGCCTAAAGAGTGGGTCCAACATGGAACAAGTCCTGATAACGCTTGCTAAGCGTGTTCGCTTAATCGCAAACGAATTGAGGTACAGGAGACACGCAGTCATACGAAGCAGCTGGTCACAAGAGATGCACGTAGACCAAGGTTACATGCAACCTAGACATAACCTTACGGGATATTGAAAGGCGAAGTTGACTGCTAGTGTGTGAACCGATTCCGGAATAAAGCTGGCTCCAATCCGCGCACCTATCGGTTTTATTCTGTTGATTTCCCAGTGGAACTGTAGATATCTGGGGTCAGTGACAAATAGACTAGGAAACTGATACGATTTCCTATTGCTCCAGAGTGATTCTCAGACTGAGCAGGTATCTTCCTTATGACTGGTGGCAATGGTTAAACACCAGTGTATTACCGGTTATGTTGTTAATAATTGGTATGCCATCCGATACATAGACCAGACCGAGATACTATGCAATCCCGGCAGCAAGCTTGAAGCTGAAGCCACATACGGCCGCAGAGTGTGGCATGGTATACAACGGTGAAAAATTGCATGACAGCAAGTACGAACAGCATTTATGCGGGATAACCTGAATTCAGATTATTTCGTGTCTTCTCATTCAGCCGCTTACAGACAAATCGTGAAAAGAGTAAAGGAATGCAATTGAAAAAGGGGGTCAATAGGAAAATCAATAAAACACTGAGAAAATCGAGGTCATTGCCTGCGTCTTACCAGGGCAAGGCAAGACTGGCCACAAAGTCTACCTGTTTGCAAAGGTTTGGTTTCATTCATCGGATGGCCGAGGCTTCAGCGAAACGAAGCAAGCTCGCGTTGTTTTGTCTGCTGATAATCTTGAATGCGCCACGGGTTTTCGCACAAGGTACAATCAAGCAGAAGCTGAGCGATGGAGTTGGCAGGGAGTTTAGGTCCACTATTTGCCAGGTACCGTGGAACATGTTCCATGATCCTAGTTGATAGCCTTCTCTCGGTTCGGCCAATGTACATGCTACCTCAAGTACAGGTGAATTGGTAAACACGTGAGGCGGTAACCTGAGAGTGAGGCCTATCCAAGTTGGGTTCATGGAACAGCTTCTTGGTTTGATGTAACAACACGAGCTCAGCTGCGTAATAGCACCTTTTTATGGCTTGGCGTAATCGGTAGCACAATCTTCTGTCGTTCTGTTCCCCTTTGTATGGTAGTGTGATGAAGACCTTTTTCTTTGGGACATCTATTCGTTTTACTTTCTTAGCAACCTCATTCCCATACCTGGCGATGAATTTATTAGGATAGCCATTATTGCGTAGGTTAGATTCGATGTATAGTAATTCAGCCTCGATTGACTCTTGGAACTAGGGATCGTTTATAGTTCATTGGACAGTAACTGTTGAAATGTAGGTATTGTCCGGTCCAGCTCGGTTTCCGGTAAATCGATCTTATGAGTGAATCATCTGCTTTTCTAAGTGAAACGTCAAGAAAATGAAATGAATCCTCTGATTCGCTTTCCATAATGAACTTGATGTTAGGATGATATTTGTTTAACGTTTCCAAAAGGACTTTCGCTTGTTAGAGAGTGAAAAATTGGTCTAATAGTGGTGTGCAACACGGTTAAAGGAAAAAGCAAGGTAACTGAGCTTAAGGCCAACCTGTGATTGCTTCGATTCCCCGGTAGATAGTGATGGTATAGGAGTGGGCGAAAGTTGCATCGGCCGAGAATTCATGGAAGGGCCGATCCGAGTGGCGGTTTGCGATTGAATATTCTCCCCTAGCAGAAATCCGGGAAGATATTGTGTACCAGTGCCATGCGAGAGAGAATTATTTGGACTTGTTGTCGGTGAACCCAGATTCATTGGTTCAGTAAGAAGGGTAGTTGGTGCAGAGCCATGTACGAACCCGTGATGCTGAAAACCCATTCTCGGACTGTAAGGCATCGGTGTGAGGCTGAAATAAAAACACCGGTTAAACCAGTCGAATCGGAAATAACTAGCTTTAATTCGTCTAACTTGATTAAATACGAACATGTGCTTCTCAGTAAAATGGAATACACGATTATTTATGATATCCGATGCGACACAATTGCGCAGTGGACGACAGTAATAACAGACTATTCCTAAGCTCTGACGGTTGTAGTGGACTGGGAAGATAATGCTATCTCCAAGCTAATGGGGAAGTTATGCATGGCACTAGCGTAAAGAGCACATTGCAAGTGCATTCGCAGTACTCCTAAGATCTATCGCGATAGTTGCGTTACGATTTGTGACGATGGTCTGCCACATTATCAGAACTGAGGTGAATAGAGAGGGTGTATTAAGCCGACTGAAAATGAGGAAATCTTAATAATCGCACTGATATGCATGATGCAACACTGTTGCCTTAAGAAATGATATGGAGTTGGACACCATGAAAAAAGAGTGACTTTTGTTGTTAATCTCTGTAGGAGAAGCAATCTACTGAGAAAAACGCGATGAGGCGGACTTAAATGTGACCCAGAACTACGCTGTGTGACAGTTCAATTGCTTTCATAGTCCCTAATAACAGACTGGAGATATCAAGTCCTTTGCGGACAGGATGGTTGATTGTGTACGTCTTGGTGTTCGACACTCTTGGAGTGGTTCAGTCGACCATAGATAAACTTTCTGATTTTTGACCACTGTTATCTGCAGAGCATTGCTGATATAAGAAGGCACTAACATGCCCACGACGATGATGTGCGCAAACGAGTATGTTTCTTGAGAAAGTCAACTAACGTTACACAAATCGCGTTGGCTTGAGTATGGGCACACCGACTTAGGTGTGGAATTGATCCCAAGTGAACGACTTCTTAACTTGGAGTATGCTGACGACATTGCTCTTATCTGTGACAACTCACAAATGTGCCAAACAGCATTAGACAAATTATCATTTGTTGTCAGCCGTTTCGGGCTATGGTTTGTTCCATCGAAGTGCAAATTTTTCTTCCAAGATTGGCAGGGACTGCTTCTTACGCTGACCCTTAGTGAAGAACAGCTAAAAGTCGTTCAAAGATTCAAGTACCTCGGCAGTTGTATCAGTGCTGTTAGAGTAGAAGATGAGATCACAAATCGTATAACAAAAGCTCGGAGCGCTAGTGCTAATCTTGGTTACCTATGGCGCGACATCACTCTCACCCTAAAGGGTTGAGTGCACAATGCAGAGGTACGTTCGACCCTGCCGTACGGTTGTGAAACCTGGCCCATTAAATCGGTAGACGCAAAGAGGCTGGCTGCGTTCGACCACCGGTCCTTTCGCAGTTTGGCTCATATCTGGTGGGAACACCGTGTGAGCAGTGAGGGTGTTCGACGCCTCGTTTATGGCACAATAAGGACTGAACCGCTCAGCACCGTTATTTTACGCACCAGACTCTGATGGTTAGGTAACGTGTTGCGCACGGCAGCCCACCGACTCCCGCGACGTGCGTTGTTTGCGCGCCGAGGGTGTGGATGGAAGAAGAGGGGTGACCAAGCGATGACTTGGTCGAGAGGAAAAAAGGCCCTTACTTCGAAGTTGACCTCGGTTGGGGCCTCTCGGCGCCCTGGTTGGGGTCCGAAAGACGATGAACACGTTTGACTGGATACACCAGTTGTTATGGCTAGGAACCGACTTCATTGGCGTTCATGTTGTGAGTTTCTTTGTCCCTCCCTCTCCCGCTTAGCCTGCTCCCCAAACCACGATCTCAATTCATACATATAGGAAAATACTTCTTTTTGCGGCATAATAGCCAGCTGGTAACTCTCCGAAACGAAGTCCATTCGTTACCGGTGACTCAGCCGGTGTGTTTTTGTCGCATTTTTGCTTTCGTGTCCTGATGTATTGAGGCACAATAGCTGAGGTGTTTTCCACCTCCAGCTGACGTGCAGAATGATGAATGCTGAGTACGTGCCACGTATACAAGGTCAGCGCTTACGTAGGGGCCCTGCTCTGTCCACGATCTTGTGGTGGAAGAAAGTCGACTTGGCAATGGCAGAATGAAGACACTGGCGACTAAACTGAGTATCATTGGTCCGTCTCATCTTCTATGACGGAGTACGTGCGATACACGTGCTTGGCACAAGACCCTACTACACGGCATGGCGTGCAGTCGGCACCAGTGACCCGTCTGTTGTCATCTCATAGTTTGGTTGCCTAATTAAATTGTGTCTGATGCTGAGTTATTCATAGAGCATTGGCATATTATGAGGCAACACAGTGAAAACCGCAGGTAAGCTGTCTCGCCGATGTCGCCTTATGTTTGTGACGGTATTGTACACAAGGTGTAGGCGCCTTGAAATTTAAAGGTCGCTTAAGGAATTTAAGTTTTAAACTAGGCTCCACTGCTTTGCTATTTTAATATTCCTCATTTTCTAGGTCATTCTGATTGCGCAGCAAAGAAGTACCGCTGTCAGTGATGAGGATAATTGCGATGAGAGGAATGGTTGAATTCGCAAAGCCGTCAGTCCATGATAAGGTTTAAAGCTGCGAAGAAACTAGCCAAATAGCCTGATCAAATTGGCACATGAAGCCTTTTGTATGACCCATCGGCAGTTATGTATATGTTGACATTTTTAATCGTAAAGTCAGTGGTATCACTGCAATCAACAGTCTTTCGTTTCGTATAAACGAGTGTGGACTTCTAGAAGCGCTAGCGTTCTTCATTGAACGAGCCCTAGCTGACCAGCAGCGTTTCCATTTAGTTACAAGCGTCCGATTCATATGCTGTCCTATGCATAATGGAAAACTGATCAACGAACAGAAAGGCCTTGTATGCATCAGCCAAAGTAGTCTAGCTTCAGAAAACCTCCTATTCGAGCGCACTAAGCTAGTTTGACGAGCAACCCCTCAAACTCGCTGGAGCCGATGTGCTGGCATGCGCAACACGTGACCCAGCCATCGAAGCCTAGTATGTGAAACAATGCTGTTGATCAGTACACTTGATCTTCCTGAGTCATAAAGAAGCTTAATATTCATGCGGTTGCCACCAGATATGAGCTAGGCTGCGAAGGTACCGGTGAATGAGCGTAACAAGCCTTTTGGCATCTGTCGATTTGATGTGTCAGGTTTCTCAAACGCTCAGTAGAGTTGGGCGGATAGTTGCATTGCAGACTCTGCCGCTCTGGGCGAATGAGTGAGTTAGCAAACCATTTCAACGTCATTCAAGAGCAATTCATAAGGATACGGCAAAACTGACTAGCCACGATTAGTAAAATCATCATCTTTATACATTAGCTGAAGGTGAAAAAGACACATCGGCTAAACGTGCCGCAATACCAAAAATAGGATATTTGAGAAAGCGAGAAACTAAATATTGCAATATACAAAACTAAAGTAGCAAGTATGTGATGCTAAGCGTAATAGTATCATACGGTAAGCGGGGATCAAGCCCCTCTAATTCTCCGGTAGTGCAATGACTACATACTCAAATAAAGCAGGCGTTCCGGATACGTTTGTTCCCGAAACCCTGCACTAACCATGTACTCACTCGCAAACCCCATCTAGTATCATTTGGTCCCTTGCATGTCATGGTGGATAACCCTGGATACCTTATTCTAAGTGAGGTCGCCGAAAAACTGGTGAAATCTTCAAACTAACCGGCCGTTAAAACTCCGAAGGAGCGGCGAATAAACCGCATCATATGGGGCCTATACATTTGGAAATTTCCCAAAAATGAAGAACTGAGGTGTGCACGACACGTAAATCAACCTGCTGAGTGAAAAGAGAAATTTCACTTCCGCCAACACATCACTTAGGGTGACTAGCCGCTCCGATGCGGAGAACAGAACATTTAGCTTGATCAGTGAGCATCAGCCATGTATGTATTAGCAAGTCTAAGAAATAAACATAAAACCAAACAAAACCATGAAAATCACTACAAGAGATGTTTAATTACCGCATCATCATCATTGGACATTAGTTGAAGGTGAGAAACACTTCGGCTATTGTGTCATAATAGAGAAAAACGGAACACTTGGGTTATTTCGCACACGCTGTTTTTTTCAACTGTCAAGCACTACGCAGCTGAATCTAAACAAGTATGTACGCAGATCTTCTACTGGTTACGACTGCGCGTTATATCCTGAATTGTTTCCATACATTAGCACTCCTCGTCCCTTGGTCTCCAACCAGACAGACGCGTGGATCCAACGACAGCAAGGTTGACCAATCACAGAGCCCATTCAACGTAGTTTGAATTGCCTCAGAACCCCCAAAAAATCTCCAATATTCAAGAGCTTGAGATCATCAGCAAATAGTAGCGACGGTATTTCAAGATCCTGGAGTAAGTCATAGACACAAATTGCGAAAATCAACGAACCTAAAACAGAACGCCGCAGTTTGCCTAAGAGAAAGGCTACGCTCCACACGTGCACATTGTTGTTTCCATTATAGAAAAGCATACACCCATTTAAGATCACCAATTGTCCCCTAAGACATCAACTTTAGTGACTTGTCGATAGTGGACAGTATCAAAGGGTTTCGAGAAGTCGACGAACTGCACGCCAATAGCGTGACCGCGGTCTACTGCCTCAGTCCAGCTTTCTCGACCTAAAGTCATACACGAAAATGCCATAAGGAATCCTTGTTATACATCACTGAGGTTACCTTTATTCAGGCGGTTCTCCAAGAAACCTCTCAACAGTTTTTCAAAGTTGATTAATACGCTTGTCAAGCTGACACGCCGGTAACTTGCAGGCAGAGTACAGTTACCGCTTGTAAAAATCGGACAGATGACGGTTTCCTTTTATTCCGAAGGTAAAATGCAGCTGTCGAGCGATTGTGAGGATACTCCGCAGGGCCGCCATCTTCGCCTGGTCCGTCTTCAGTCCTACCGCCTCTGCCACCTCCTGGAAATCCTCCAAAA